CCATGACCCTGGAGGAGAGTGAGACTGATGACTTTGCACCAGCTCTGCCTCACTCAAAACCAATTCACTTTCGAGTGAAGGCATCACTCTCCTGATGTCATTGGTCCTCTTCAAGAATGAAGGACGAACAACAACAATCTTATATCTGGCTTCACAACAGGTTCTTCATCAAGTGGCATTGGCCTCCTGGTTATTTCACGAACAAGATACTTTAACTTTCGTCTGTGGGCATTTTCTCTGGTTGTCCTCCATGCCTGTAACACTATCCCTCCTCTGCTCCAACTACTGACCTCCCTGGCTTCCTTCTGGTCTCCTCCTTAAGGCAAGGCAGAGAAAGCCTGCACCAGGCTTCTTCTTTTTCTCACCTGGCTCGAAGAGGAGCATTAGACTAGAATTCTATCTATACATGCTTTCCCTCCTCCCCCATCTGGTCCAAAGTTAGCCTTGAGGGAGAAGGGTAATACCGAGCTCACATCTGGTAGCTGGACTTCTTTGTACCAAACATGAGTTACACAAAAGTTCATAGATATCAAATAGCAAGTAAACTCATTTATCCAAACAAGCAGCCAATAGAAATTAAAGAAGTTAGACAGATTAGAATATACTAGAAAATACTCCAGTAAACAGCTCTTTAGATATGAGTGAGATAAGATCTCTGTTCAAACCAAGAGTAGGGCCTAGATCTCACCCAAGGGCAAAGTCTCCTAAAGGCTCTAGAGAGCCAAGCTGGTGGCTTCCCATCCATGGCTGTAGCTTCCAAAGTCTTTCTCGAAATCTTCCAAGGAATTGGTACCAAACCACAAGTATCCCTCTCTCAAAGTCCTGGCAGCCCTCACACCCTTCTCATGCACATCCAAAGTGTTATGTCAGCATTTTCCTCACTAGTTGGGAGTAATGTCTCCCTTTGCAAATGCAGCAACACATGAGATGGGCCAAACTTACTGGAAGCCTGGGTAGATAAATTTGTGGTACGTTGAGTATCTTTGCCACAAGGCAGCCCACATTTAGGGGACATCCTAGACATAAACCATATGTAAGCTTTGTTTTAGAGCTTTCCCCAGAGTTATTCCAAAGTGGTGGGTGCCCTTTTAGGGTCAGGCTTCCCTCAGATGAACCTGATCTGTGTGAATCCAGAGCTGGAGCCCCTTGTGTGTTTGAGGGATATATAGATACATGGCATATAGTCAAACTGGGGGCATGAGATGTATATAATAACAGTAATAATAATAATAGCTGGCATTTACATTAGCACTTTATAAAGCACTTTACAAATATTTTCTTGTTTTATGCTCATAACAACCCTGGGAGGTAGGTGCTATTATTATTCCCATTTTACAAATGGGGAAACTGAGGCAGACAGAGGTGAAGTTACTTGTCCAAGGTCACGCAGCTACTAAGTGTTTGAGGTCACATTTGAACTTGGGTCTTCCTGGTTCCAGATCCAGCACTGTATCCACTGTATTACCAACTGCCTATAATATACTT